TAGACTGGAAAGTCCATAGTTTATAAAAAAGATTGGCCAGCACTGCTGGTAGCCAAAAGCGAAACAAAGTATGGAATTTTTTTTATTGTGTAAGCTGTTAGGTTTTGTTTGAACAACATAGTTTAGTGTTGGTTTGTGTTTATTCATGCGGGGACTACCACGCCCTAAAGAATGTGTATATCATTGTTTGTTCAGTTCTTAGCTGTCATCATATAGCGTAGTCATAATTTCCTTATTGGTGTGTGTCATTGCACGTACTTAGCTTATGTGTTGGCAATTCATAATTAAAAAATGCTGTATTCCTGTTATAAGTGCTGCCTGGTAAGTCTGAAATTTCTTTACAGAAATTTGCATTTTGATAGTAAGAATTTACTAGCTTCATAGATAGGCCTAACAAACTAATATACATACAGTATAAAGGACTTGCACACGAATGTTAAATAATATTTTCTGAAATTGATTTAAAATTACATAAAAGTAATTATAATTTTATTAATGTAATTCATCTGATATGATAGTTATTTTACTCTCCTGATTATTTGAATGTTATGTATTAGGGTAAACATGTAAGATATAAATAAAGAAAAACCTACATATAAATAAATAGAGAAATAATAGTGATATATGAATAGATATATTCGTGAAATGGAAAAATTGTTTGCATATGTTAAAATTGTTTTAATAATGTGTGCATCATAATTATGTTGTCAGAAACATTAAATATATAATAACATTCAAGTTGCTAAAATTTTATTTTCACATTTTAAATTAATAAATTTGAGTACTAAAAGACATCGATAGAAGTATGTGCTCAAAAGTGAGCAAGTCAAGTTGACTGTCATGGAGCCCTCCAGATCTCATTCACACAACAAATTCGTCGGAACAGCTGTCTATGAACTAACAATCACATTGTGATACAAGTGCTCTCGTACAGCAAAGGCGTTAACAAGCATGGGAGAGACGATATTGTAACAGCTTCTTTCCGTTTTACATAAATCCTAGTGCCACTTTGAAATGAGGGTGATTGGCTTTGATATTTCAAACCTGCATTTGATGATTGTTTCGTGTGAACCGAGTTTCAACTTGTTTACGACAAGACTATACTTTGTTCACATTCGTACGGATCATGTGATGTCTTCACTGCCCGGTGACTCATCCACCGTATACATTATTTCTAAACTTTGAGATGATTTCAGGATTAAATCTAACATTAGTCAGTATCGTTCACTTTTAGGTATTATGGAAATGACAACCCTTCGTTAGCGTCTATAATTTCAACAATGAAATATGTAATCTTATATACTTTGCTGGAAATCTGCACGACAAATTGAGGTTGTTCGCAGTCATGTCACATGATGCAATTGGCCAGTGGCCAGATATAAAAATAACATTAGGTGTTTTTTAGTTGAATTGTTAGTAAATTTATCTGAAAAATATTCCCGAAAAAACTAATTATGTTTGTAAATTGTCATAATTGATTTGTTATTGATTTAGGTATTGTATTCAAATTACGTTCACGAAAAACGAAAGTATTTTGAGTGACTATTAAACCATGTGTTAATTGGAAAGTTGGAATTGAATAATTCAGTGATATGATTATGATAATTGTGCAGGTGATATTTACCATTGTATGGGCCAGACAGAATGATAGATCTTTCTCGAAGGATTGTTACTTCATCGCTAAAAATAGACAATGAGTCATTCTGTTTTGCTGCAGCAGCAGTAAATGTTTATTGGCATGTTCAGACTTGTCTGTCCAGGATGACTAATAAGGTAGGACTGGAAAAAGACATCTTCACTAGATTAGCATGTTCATTCTGCATTTGGCCTGGACATAGTAAGCATGGGACCCTTAAACTGGGTCCCGTTAGCAGTTACACTTGTGTTTGACTTGTGGAATACCTGTTTTGTCTACTTTTCCAAGGTATTAATTTTTAGTTTTGTGATTCAAACTCCATTGAGATTTTGCTTGGATGCAGAGCAAGTATTTGTGGGATCGTTAACTGAGCCACCTAATTAGTTTTTAATTAGTGAGTTCATTATCCTGACATGATAAATTGACTTTTCCTTTAAATGACTAATTTTATAGTCATTTAATACCCACAGAAATTTTGATTAGTATTCAGTTATTAACATAACAAATAATGCTGATGACATTTTTCATGCTGTTGCCTCATTTGTAGGCAGGGGAAGTTGCATGTCTGAATCATATTAGCATAGGCTAGGCCTGCTTTTTGATATGAATATTAGCCTGTCTTTAACCCCGGTGTATATTTTTCATATGTAATTCCATATTTTTCATATGTAATTCCATATTTTAATATTTAGTTATCTATTTTTTTTTCTTAATGATTGTCTGATATTTTGTATTTGATTGTCCCCTTTGCATCAAGCTCAAATATTTTTTGTCCTCATGTTTAAATTATGTTAAGACTGTAAAACATATTTATATTTGTATTAATCATTTTTACGATTTTGATTAATTAGCATACAAATATGTGAGGCTTTCATAAACAAAGCTTTTATTTTAAGATAAATTTTCTCTTGCAAATAATTAGAGACTAAATGATTAAATGTTACAACTATTGAAATTGTAATGATAGGTGTTTTGCATTTTTTTTTTAAATTCTACCTTTACATGTTATACATAGGTAGTGTAATGTTCTCACTAACATCTTGTGTTCATATTAATATACCATACTATTAAATACAGAGCTGTTTCTGTCTGGCTTGTTAAGACTTGTTGGGACAGGTCTGGCATCAACTTTATTGGTTGTATTGTAGGTTGAGGAGTGAAGCACAAAAGGCCCATTTAGAATCACCGTCAGATTTTGCATAATTGGAAGAGGATTTTCAGTTGCTGTTTTGTGTATCTGAATTTAAGTACCGTATATTTTATACTCCACTTGCACATTCCGCTCGCATTAGAATTGAAGGAACTCCCCCCACCCCGAGTCGGATATTTTTTGTTTAATGGGACATTAGTCGTTTGCAAGGATTATTTTGTATTTACCTGAGTCAATAAATAAATATGGTAGCAGAAGGTCAGGTGAATTATATGAATGTGATTGGCTACCATTTTTTATCAGCTGATTTCTGCCCTCTTTAGCTGTCCTGTCTCTCGGACATTCAACCAAACAAATAAGAAGACCAAAAAAAATACTTGCGAATACTTACCTGGATAAACCAACTAATTGCCAACACCCCTCGGAAAATAGTTGAGCAGTCGACTCCTGGCGCAAAGCACAAGCGGTCCCGCAATTATGCAACTTCCTCATTCTTTTTCGAAAGACAGAAACGAGTACCTTGATTGGAGAAAAATTCGGGGGAGATTTACGATCTTTTACTTTGGATAAGATAACTAAAGAAGTAGACTTCACAGACTTGATAAGGCAGAGGATGTTCCACTATTTTTGAAGCAGCAGGACAGGAAGATTGCACCCCAGATGATGATGGCGATAAGTGGACTGTCTATGCATTTGTTTTAAGTTGACTGCTGTGGCAGTGTGGTTAGCTGGTGTGTGTGTTATGAGTTCACACCAACTGATTGCCTTGCCATAACAGTGAACTAACTGCAGCCCACACCAACGATTGCCTTGCCATAACAGTGAACTAACTGCAGCCAACACCAACCGATTGCCTTGCCATAACAGTGAACTAACTGCAGCCAACACCAACCGATTGCCTTGCCATAACAGTGAACTATCTTAGGCCAACACCAACTGATTCCATTGCCATAACAGTGAACTATCTTAAGCCTACACCAACCGATTGCCTTGCCATAACAGTTCAAACTAACTGCAGCCCACACCATCGATTGCCTTGCCATAACAGTGAACTATTCGAAGCCCTTCCAAACCGATTGTCCTGTCAACAGTAGCGCCAGGAATTGCCTGGGCGGGTTTCTGGTGGGAGTGTGTGTGAGCAGGCCCAGAGTTTGCCAAGTCCCAGAAGCTTAAATAACAAGTTTTGAAAGGCTAATCGATTTCGGACTCTGAAAAAATGACATGATTATATCTTAGGAGTGGGAGGTACTGTAGGAAACAAACAATTATGAGCATTTTAGTTATTTACAAAATGGGTCGATGGCAGTGTGTGGTTTAAATTTTCAATTGTTAGTGTACTTTAAACAAAGTTGGCTATGATGTAGGTGATTTCATCTGTAAATTTGGGATTTTTAAATATTTTTGTGGTGTTATTATATTTGGAAATCTGTTGGGAATAAAGGAATCAAAATTATAATAACTTTTATTACAATCCAAGTACAATAGATTAAAGTTTAATAATATAAAGACCTCACCATAAATATATTCATAATCATCCACTAAATTATTTGTCTTTAATGTAATTATTATAGATCATGCTAGTATTCGAGATTTTTTTTTTCAATACAATACTCAAATTCACAGTGGGTGATTTTTTTTTTTCTTTTCAATAAGTAGACCTTCCCTATCATTCACATTCAACAACACATCATCATTTTTATGTTAATTCCAGTTGCATGCTTTTATGGAATTTGTTTTTTCGATACTTATATGTATTCTCTTTCCTCCATGTTTGAATATGAACAAGTTTTCAGGACAAATGGTCTCCCCATTTTTGTGTATTGGACCAAATAAATAATGAAATTAAATGAAAGGGGAATATGTGAACAATTTGGAACAGTTACCGTATTTAACATGAGGATCAATCAATAGAGGGCAGTGTTAACTTTTTGAATTTACTGTGATTTAATTTGATTGAAAGAGAGATAATTTGTGAACCTGAGATTTAAGCAGTCAGCGGAAGATCCAGGATTTCAAAATAGAGGGGGCCCAGAGAGGAACCTTTACAAATGGAGAGTATGGACCACCTTAGCCCCACCATGGTTGCCCCACCCCCTCCCCTTTGAATCTGCCACTGGCACTTGAGTTATACTTATTTGAGTGATTTTAACCAAGGATTTTCTGGTATTGGTAGAAAAGCAACTCTTAATTGTTACTTATTTTTGTGTCTTTCAGATCAGCGTACATTTCTTATGGCGGTCTGTTGATGCGATTACAAGGTGACGCAAACAACTTGCATGGAGTTGAACAGGACATGCATGTCTACCTTTTGATGAAAAAACTTGCTTTTTGATTGTTATTATTTTTTTCATTTTAATTATTCTCATTACACTTATTGTTATTATTGTTATTAATATGTATTTTGTATATTTCAAGCCCAGGGAAATATAATTATAAACTCTTGCATTGAATATAGTCACGACATAACTGTTGATCAATTATTAATAATAAATTATCATTTTGTGGCTATTTTCATTACAGTATTATAATTTTGTATATATTAAATGTCCAGGACAATATACAATTAATGACGATTAATGTAGTTATTCTGTACTGTATTTTTTGCATTTACAATACACTGGGCATATCAAGATCAAATATTAATAATGGTAATAATAATAATAATGATGATAATACAAATGATACAGTAGTATGAATTTGGGCAGTGTAAGTATTATTTAAGAACAAAATTCTGGGAAGGGTGTATGTTTAAAATGTAAATTTGTAACTAGTATTCTGGCATTAAAAAGATTCATGTGGAAAATAAAGAAATACAGTATTTGGTGCATGATAAAAGTTTTCAATAAATCTTAATTTTATGTATTTCACATACTACATTATTTAAATTATGTTTTGAACTCTTGTGAAATGCTACCCCAATGGCTAACAAATTAATTATCTTCCTCTACAGCATCCCCAATAATAGAGGGAATATTGGTTTTAGTCTATGGTAAGTCCTTTTAAGGGGGTGGGGATATTAAAGGACACCCCCATTGTCCTGTTCTGCACATTATGTTCTGTTTTGTACATTACAATAATTAAACAAAAAAAACTGATTTGACATGTATTTAAGCAAACATGTTTAAATTTTTACTGAATAAAAAGTGACCAACAAAATGAAAAATGTCTTTGTTGCCTGTGTTTAATGCGATAAAGCGAGTGAAATGTGAGAGCAGCAGAAATTCCAAGTGTGAAGAACTTTCAGGCGTGAGAGTTTTGTTTTGAAAACTCCTCATCTTATGAGAGTCTGGGCAATGTATCAGCGATGTTTAGATGGAAGCTGCATTTGGTGAGAGAGCTATATTAGGTTCTGTCAACTCCAACAATAAAAGTGATATGCCCATATTTGGGTGTAATTATGACATCATCATGCCCACGAATAGTGACTACAAATGAAAGTACAGTAATTCAGATACATTTGAGATGATGGCACTTGATATTGGATGAGTTGACATCATGCATCAATGTACAGTGGATAAGTTGAAACAGGAAGATGAAATTAAGAACTACAGAACTCATTTTTTTTGGATAATTATTCAAATATATACATCTCAAGGATATATTTAAAATCGGAAGTGCGTGGGTGGGTGGGGGACTTTATCCCCAACCCTGAAAGTTTTACCAACAAGCATAACAGAAATCATAGCCTAGGAAGTTGGCCTTACTTGAAATGGTTTTTTTTCTAATCGTTATTTCAGCAATCAAAAGCCATATAAAATAATATTCCTCTATAGGGACGAAATGGCTTATACTGTACGAAATGGCTTATACTGTACAAGATATTTCAAGAACCACGATAAAACATATACAGTAGTATATCTAGAATAATATGTAAACTAATAAAAAAATATATATATATATATATTGTAACCAAAGTCAGTGTGTATGTAAATTTCTCACAATGAAAACAGAGGGCGACAGACTGTTATTTACTGCTTTCTGGTTTATAATATTTTCCGAATGTCAATAACTTTGTGACATTAAAGAAAACAGGAATGCTGCCCTCTAAAATTTCCGATCTTTAAACTTCGTTAAATGCAATAATTTTGTTGAATGTGATAATTTTCAGTGGCGGTATGAAGGGTGGAGGGATGGGGAGGGCACCCGGCCTGGGCCCCCTAAATTTTGTCCAAATTGTAAAAATTTGGAGAGAAAAAAAAAATTACATTAATTTTCTTCCCGCCCTGGCCCCCTCTTTTTCAAATTCCTTGATCCGCCACTGATTTTAATCATTTTCTGGGGTTATAATTTTAAATCGATTTAATTGTATTATATTATTCACCAAATAGATCAGTTATGAAC